AGTCATGTCAAAAGCTAAGATAGCCAAAAGCTAGGCCTCTTGTGCCACAGTCAGCCAAGTTGTGAATGCAAAGGAAGAGTTCGTAAAAGAAATTAACAGTCCTATGCCAGTGAACACATGAATGATGAGAAAGCAAAATAGCTGTATGGCCAATGTGGAGAAAGTTTGAGTGGTCTGTGCAGAAGGTGAAACCAGCTACAACATTCTCTTAAGCCAAAGCCTAATGCAGAGCAAGGCCCTAACTCTCTTCACTTCTATGAATGCTGAGAGAGGTGAGGAAGCTGTAGGAGAAAAGTTTGAGGCTTACAGAGGTTGATTCACAAGGTTTAAGGAAGGAAGCTACCTACAAAACATAAAGGTGACAGGTGAGGCAGCAAGTACCAGTTGAATGGAGTGTTGCTGAAAAGATAACCTGAAAATGTGGAAGTGACTTTGGAACTGGGTAACAGGCAGAGATTGAACAGTTTGGAGGACCTAGAAGAAGACAGGAAGATGTGGGAAACTTTTGAACTTCCTTGAAACTTATGGAATGGCTTTACCTAAAATACTGATAGCGACATAGACAATAAAGTCCAGGCTGAGTTGGTCTCAGATGGAAATGAGGAACTTGTTGGGAATTGGAGCACAGGTGACCCTTGTTATGTTTTAGGCAAGACACTGGTGGCATTTCGCTCCTGCCCTAGAGATGTATGGAGCTTTGAACTTGAGAGAGATGATCTAGGGTATCTAGTGCGAGAGGTTTCTAAACAGCAAAGCATTCAAGATGTGATTTTGAGTGCTGTTAAAGGCATTCAGTTTTATAAGGGAAACAGAGTGTAGAAGTTCTGGATAATTTGCAGCCTGACAATGCAATAGAAAAGAAAAGCTCATTTTCTGAGAAATTCAAGCTGGCTGCAGAAATTTGCAAAAGCAATGAGGAGCTGAATATGAATCCCCAAGGGAATGGGGAAAATGTCTCCAGGGCATGTCAGAGATCTTCATGGTAGCCCCTCCCATCACAGGCCCAAAGAAATGGGATATATGGACTAAGGAAGACATGTACAAAATGATGCATTCTTGTATATTTATCTAATTTTGAAATTACTGGCACTTTCAGTTGAGTCCTGCATGCTTTTATTAGAGAAGATATTCTCCCAACGCTTGCTTAGAGCAAATTCTGCTTAATTGTAGGATATTCTCAATTCTAAATTTTTGCATATTAAAATGTTTAAATATTTCAGATCAGATATTTTCACAAATCCCATTCTTTTGCTTTCATTTAGAATACCTTCCACAAATCTGAGATATTTTTACATAGACTTTTATTTATAATTACTTTAAATAATCTTCCAGTTTAGTTGATACAAAATCATAGAGCTTCTCAATTTCACTCTATTCAAGTATACAATGTAAATAAATCTCATTGAAAATAGGAGCCCCATCAAATGATTATTCCTACAAATGAAGATATTTCAACTTAAGCTTACATACACATTGAGTGCTTAATTTCTTTAGTTCATTCCTTGCTTTTGTTGGAATGCATTTCATTGTCAGCCTGTTTGCAAGCGTGGTTTCTAATAACTGCAGTTCACTAAATGCTTTACTGCGTTCTTTCAGTACATTGAGTAAATATGTTCAACTGACTTTGAACAAAATGCAAACCAAATATAGATGACTCATTATCAAAGCAGTTTAATATGATTGTAGAACACTTAGGTTGATTTACTGTCAATAGTTCACCAAACATTTTTAGACTTTCCTTCTGCTGGTTGTCAGGTAAGAGAAACATGCTTTCTCCTTGCTTGTTGTTGTTTTTTTGTATTCATCGCAATTTTTTTGTTAACTCAGGTTCTCTGAGTATATATGTAAATTTTAGTATCCAGACCTTTTATTTTGATCCGTTGAAAAAAACATAACATTTGTATGAAATTATGACATGGGTAGTTTTTGGCAGCTCATCATCTTTTCATAGTTGGAATTTTTCTATCCTCAGCAGTGTTATATCTTGTTCTTAGGGATTTTCTTGTTTTTCTGAGTTGCTAGGATATAAGTAAGTATCAGATTTAATATTTTAGACTCTTCCTGTGATGCTGTATGTAAAACATTTAAAAACCTTGTTTAGAATTTAGCATTTGGAAAATGTTCCTTTTTGACTTTTGGCTAGAAGTTCTTTTTATAGAGGATGACAAACTGTTGGACTTCCTGTTTTGTTTTTATTCTTGACCACACTATAATTCATCCACTGGGCTGAAACCTAGTTAATCTTTCTAAATGGTATGCTTCATTCCTTAAGTATTATGGTATAATCCTTAAAGTTATTCATGATTTTCCATCACACTTAAAGACTACAATTTTACTTACAGACTAAAATTTTACCATGGCCTACAAAATTCTTTCATAGTCTGGATTATACCTTGCTTTTTAATCTCATCCTGTGTCATTCACTTCTTCTTACTTTCTGAACTCTAGCCAAACTAGCCTCCTTCCTTTCCCTCAAGGCCATTGCATTTGCTGTTTCCCTTACTGGGAATTCTGTCTTCCAAATCTTTTCATCACGGGCTTGTAATCATTCAGGTCCCAGGTCAAATTGTATCATTTTAGAAACATTTTCTCTGAACATAATATGTAAAGAGTCTTTTTTCTAGTTTACTTTCTATCCCTAGTATTCAATATTCTGTTTTTCTTTTTTAATTTTCTTCATAGCAACTGTCACTATTAAAATGATCTTATTTATTGTAGCAGCAGGAATATTATATGTCAGGTTCACCACTCTCTCACAGCATAGTAAACACTTACTATTTGTGAAATGAATGACTGTCTAATATAGCTACTATATCCATTATTTATTCTTTGATTCTCACTTCTAGCTATAAAATATCTTAGTGGTATTTGCCTTCCATATTTTCAGACAGTTTAAAAATAGCAGCAAACAATGAAGGAACTTTAAGCAGGGTTGTGATATGTTCTTACATCTCTTTTAATGTTTTCTAAACACAAATAAAATATAGCATATTGAATTGACAGAATACAGGTGAACATAAGATAAAAAAATAATGTGGGTGTGTGTGTGTATATATATATATATATATTTTTTTTTTTTTTTTTTTTTAAGACGGAGCTTTGCCCTTGTTGCCCAAGCTGGAGTGCGATGGCACAATCTCAGCTCACTGCAACCTCTGCCTCCTGGGTTCAAGAAATTTTCCTGCCTCAGCCTCCTGAGTAGCTGGGATTACGGCATGCGCCACCATGCCCGGATAATTTTTTGTATTATTAATAGAAACGGGGCTTCACAATGTTAGCCAGGCTGGTCTCGAACTCCTGACCTCAGGTGATCCGCCCTTCTTTGCCTCTCAAAGTGTTGGGATTACAGGCATGAGCCACTGCGCCTGGCAAAAATATTTATATTTATACTTCACCCTAAAAATAAGACAAGATCCTAAGAATGGTTTAGAGTTCTTGTAGGAATAATCCAGAAACTTTGCTGCTTGAATCATCTAGACTTCCAGTTCCAACCATGAAATACCTTTTATCAGACTGCCGTCCTACCAAAAGCAGTCATGAAAGTTAGACAAAATATATAAAACCAAATGGTTTAAATACATTGAAATGCAACTAACTCACATAGAACTTGAAGGGGCTATGGTCCTAAGAGGTTATCTCCATATAAACATTGGCTTTTTCCTGAGGACATGTTTAGAGCAATACAGGCCAAGTCTAACGTGTCAGTCATTTCTAGCAGAGGAGACAGTGGTCAGGCCTTGGAGCTGCTAAAATGACTGAAACATAGGGACAAAATCTCAGATAGAAAGAAATTGCAGAGGAAAAGCCCCAAAATTTATGGACAAATTTCGCTCAAGTTATTGGTGATTCTATAACTACACATGTATGGGGCAAGCAAGACTCAAAGAAACTCAGCAGAAAATAGCAGAAGAAATTATTTAACAGCCACATGATGGTGGGGAAACAGAGGTTAAGGCTGCCTAGGTGCACTTGGTAAATACCCCTGGCTTCCAACTGAAATCCCCAGGGCTGCTTCTGGAGGTTGGGGTAAAAACTGAAATGGGCGATTCTTAACAAAGCCTAAAACACAATATAATCTGTGTTTACTGAGTCTGAGTTCAGAAGAAATTTAACCTTTTTAAAAGATACTGTCATTCAAAGCCTCTGTAATTTTTGGTTTATGTAGTCTGGCTTCAAATAACAAACCTCTGGAAAGACTGCAAGAAGAAAACACAAGAGCATTTTGTAGAGATTATATCTGCAGAAATGAAACGTGCATGAGATTATTCAATGAAAATGTTCATGATAACAATATATTGGAAATAGCCCACGGGGCCATCAATAGGGAATTTATTAGATAAATTTCGTTTATTTATATAATGTATTGGTTTTCACACAGGCACCATCAGCATTTGGTGCAAGCCAGTTCTTTATTGTATGATACTGTCCCGATCATTGACTACAGGGCAGTTGATAACTTTGGACCTGGCACGGGAAGTGCAGGTTGCACATTCAAGGTTTGAAACAACTCAGAATACTCCCACACATTTTCATGTGCCTTTGGGGTGGGGCATTCCACTTGAGAATCATTAATATTATGGAATTCTGTACAACAGTGAAAAAAAAACTGAGAAAGCTGTTTGTGAACTGATATGGAAAGACCACTAGCTTGTTTTGTTTAAGATAGGAGGACAATGAGAATATACATTTGGATTGTTTACATATGCATAAAACATTCTGTAGTAATATGTAAGAAACAAATGAAGTGATTATCTGTGGGCTGTGTGACATGAATGCAGATGAGAATGGGTGAAATATTTATGGATTTAAAAAATACTGTTTTAATTTTTAGAACATGGATTTATTACGTATTTAAATTTTTAATAAAATTTTAGTTATAAATAAGCCTTTGTGTCAAATATGATAATTTATAAGAGATCTATTTAAAATTTACATATTCATTAAACAAATGTTTTGGTCTTTTCCCCATCCTGTCTCCTTTTACTTTTCCTTTCATTCAGTGGAGTAGGGCGAAACTGGGGCTGGGCATCTGCGGGTAGCAGCATTCTGGCTGAATTTGGGACACTGCATATGGAGTTCGTCCACCTCAGCTACTTGACAGGGGACCTGATTTACTACAAAAAGGTTCGTTCTTTGCCTTCTATTCTTTGGCCCAAAGATTTGATTAATGCTTAAAAATGTTGGCCTTTCTAGATATATGTTTATTAGGCTTCTAGCCTGTATTTTTTCTTTTGAAGTTACTCAAAGAAATGTTCTATTTAGAACATATTTAAAATATTTATTGTTATTTGAGAAGTTATAACCACTACTAAAATTTCATTGCTATTTCCATGCAGCGTTGTGCTGCAGTCTGCAGTTCCTAGCCAGCATGGTAAGACAAGAAAAACAAAATAACCAGATGTTTAAGAATTGAAAAGGAAGAAAGAAAATAATAGTTATTCACAGATTACATGATTATCGACCTAATGTATTAATACAATCTATATTTAAATTACTAGAAATAAGAGTTTAATATGTTTTTTAAATAGATGATCAATATGGATGTTAAAAATCAGTAGCATTTCTCTACACCAGCTACACAGGCAAGAAAATGTCATTTTGCAAAAAGATATCTTATGTAATAGAACAAAAATATGTATGTTTCCTACAAATCTAACAAAAGATCAAAGTTTTACTCAGCCATGAAAAAGCAGAAAATCCTTTCATTTGCAGCAATTTGGATGGAACTGCTGGAGGGCAATATGTTAAGTGAAATAAGCCAAGAACAGAAAGACAAATATTATATGTCCTCATTCATGTGGGAGAGAAAAGAAATTGATCTCATGGAGGTGGAGAATAGAATGGTGGTTATTAGAGGCTGGGAAGGGTAGTGGGGAGAGAAGGATAAAGAGAGGCTGGTTAGGGCATACAAAAGTGCAGTTGGAGTAAGACCTAGTGTTTGATAGCACAATAGAGCGACTATAATTAACAGTGATTTGTTGTATATTTCAAAATAGCTAGAAGAGAAGATGTAGAAAGTTTGCAATAGAATAAATGATAAATGTTTGAAGTGGTGGATATTTCAGTTACTCAGATTTTATCATTACACATTATATGTTAGCATCAAAATATGTACAACTATTCCGTATTCATAAAAATAAAAAATAAAAAATTTAAAAATACAAATCTTTATTAAATGACATTGAAGAGGATATAAATAAATGGAGAGATATCATATTTATGTATAGGTAAACAATATCATAAAAATTTCAGTCATCCCCAGATTGATTTGTAGTTCAGTGCCAGTGAAATCTCTAATGGCCTTTCCCCCCAACCCCTGCCCCGCAGTGGAACTTGAAGAGACACTTCTAGAATTTATACAGTAAAGAAACATTCTAGACACTTGTGAGGAAAAACATACTGGCTGGATTTACATTGCCTAGTTATTAACATTGACAGTGTAGTATTTGTTAATAGTGACAAAGAGACTGACGAATAGCTCTTAAACAGACCTACAGACATGTAGAAACTTGTTATAACAAGTGTCACACTATGGATTATAATAGTTAATTCCAGGAGCATTGAATGCTTAACTTCAAAAGACAAAGCCCTGATACTTTGAGAATAAAAAATCTATGCCCTTGGAGTAAAGAAGGATTTTTACAATGGGAAACAAAAATAGTGTCTAGTAAAAATACCCTGTAACCCAGCAATTCCATTATTTGGTATGTACATTTATATTATATACATAAAAGCATTGTTTGTATTGGCAATTTATATAATAAAATATAAAACAGTAGTGAAAATATGAATTATGTTTATATCTGTCAGTTAAAAAAACAATTTTTATAAAGTTCAAAACAAAGGTGAACAATACATTGTTTAGGGAGTCAAAAGTGATTTTGATCAATTGTCGAAGTAAAAATAATACAGAGAGATGAATCTCTAAATTAAATGTTTTATTTGGAAGCACAGAATTCCAGTTCAGGGCAGATAATTATATGATTATAATTATCATAATTATAATCACAGACTGGGGTGGTCTTCAGTACATCCAGAGAACAAAGAGAAGGTTAGAAGTTTTATTAGAAGAGAAATGTTATATATAGTTTTGAAAGGAAATGTATTGACATGAGTAAAGCTTCTAGAAGCTTTCTGGCTCTGATTGGTGACAGCAGTAGGTAAAACTATAATCTTAGGGTTTTTAAAACTGAGCTTGTGGAAAACTTAATTTTTGGAGCTGGTGTTCTGTGCCCCAGGTGATTTTCCCCTAGGCCCTTTGACTCTGATTTAGTTGGATATGATAAGAATGACCCAATTTGTATAATTTGCTTTCACAAAGTCAAGATAATGACAAATGTGAAACTCAGGACTGCAAATACATCTGGGATATCGGCAGTAGTATGTGAACAGGAAGTGGAACTGGTAAACAGACCACCAAAGGTGTTTGTAGTGCTATATTTCTTAAATACAGATGTGCATAGAGTCGAGATATATATGTATATTTGTTTCAGTATATGAAATACTTCATCAACAGAGAAGAATTTTCAGGAAAATATAGCAAAATGGGAGTAGATGACAGAATTTTCCCTGTCCTCACTAAATGAATAATAACAAAAATATTAAAGACAGTAAAAATTCATCAAAAGCAGTAAAAGAAGTCAAAGATGTTAACTTCACATCATATTTGGTAACCAAAATAAAAAAAGAAAAAAGATTTCTGATTTCTAGCATGAGACATAAGTCTGCTTCCTACCCTATCCTAAAACCTTTCTGGGAAGGGAGTCACGAAATTCCAGTATTCTCCATCAATCTTGCCAGAGAGACGAGTGCGCAGAGCATCAAATATGTAATTGCCCATAGCTGCAGCAGAGTTCTCACCTCTCATCCTTCTTGAACACATAGGCTTCAAGTGATCAGATAGTAGTATACTTGTACTCCAGAACTCAAATTGTATCCAGGAAGGGAGGAACAGACACACACACACACACACACACACACACACACACACAGCCACCCACCCACCCATCCACCAACCAAGGAACTCAAGGAGAATTCAACACCGTTCAGATCAGAACTAACCCTGGTAAATGTGAGCAAGATAAAACAAAGCATTGCAATTGTGCAAGCATACCGTTGGAAACAAAAGCAGAGTGGTACATAGCATGTAAAAGACTGATAAAGAATTCAGTTTCAAATTTTAAAAAAAGTAAAAAAAAAAAGTGACCATGAGTAATTCATCCTATAATAGAAATTAAATTTAATAAAATTAGAACTCAAAACTAAAATAAAACAATAAAATGATACAAAAATAATGTGGAGCTAAAGAAACAAATTGAGACCTGAAACAATATATCCCCATAGCGAATAAAATGGAAAACAACAATGAACTGCTTGCACATAGTTAAAAGCCGAATTACTTACATAGAATAAAAGCAAGAGATAGTCATAGTCAAAACAAGGGAAAAGCAGAAATTAAAACGATAATTTGTAAAATATAGATAATTTAACATATGGGCATTTCTGAAGTAGAGGACTAAATCATAGGAGTTAACCTAAAAGCAGCAAGAAGAAGAAACACTTCTGGGTGCAGTGGCTCACACCTGTAATCCCAGCACTTTGGGAGGCCGAGATAAGTGGATCGCTTAAGCTCAGGAGTTGAAGACAAGCTTGGACAACATGGCGAAACCACTTCTCTACCAAAAATTAGCCATGTGTGGTCCGGCATGCTTATACTCCCCAGCTACTCCAGAGGCTGAGGTAGGAGGATCACTCACACCTGGGAAATGGAGGTTGCAGTGAACTGCAGTCGAGCCGCTGCACTCCAGTCAGAGGGACAGGGCAAGACTCTATCTCAAAAAAAAAAAAAAAAAAAAAAAAA